ATGTGATAATAATAAAGTATAACCACATATTGTATCTAAACTTATTTCATGTTGGGATAAATTGTATTGCAAGATAAGAAGAATAAAGTGAAATTTATATTTATTGTGCAAAGGGAAAATGACAAAAGTAGTTAAAATGCACCTACATTCTTTATGATTATAGACACTCATCATTTTTAAATTACTAGGTCAACCTTTCCTGGTGTTTCAATTTGTATTGATGACATGGTGTGGATCAGGTTTGGATTGGGTGTTCACCTTTGGTAAATGAAAATCTTATAGTTTTATGAATAACAATTTTTGGTTTCAAAAGATGTTGTATGTTACATCATGGATGTAATTTTCATGTTTACACTTTGTAGAGTAATATCAATATAGATGAAAATTGAATTAACCAAAGGCTTTGTTATGTGACCAAAAATAATTTTTTAGATGACTGTGGTTTAACTAATAACTTCAATAAAAAAGATCATTAAGCACTTGAAATAACATGAAAACTTTAAAATTGATACAATATTGGTATGGAGTTTAATTTAAGATTTGTGGTTTAGAAATATAATGATAACGTTTAAAAAATTGGATTTAATTTTTAGATGCGACATACTATACTAAGAAATTGTAGATTGCTAAATGCTAATTCCTTGTTAGTTTGATAACTTAATTTGAGTATGTTTGTTTCTAAAGTAAAATATTTGTTGAATAATAATGGCATGTTGGGTGTTATCTTCGTAACCTTAAGTTTCCTTTATAATTTTTCTACTGTATTTTTTCTTCAATTATATTCAAGTCTACTTTCAAATATCCATCACATCAACATTTAAATTCAAATTTTCTATCTTTTCTTTTCATTCAAAATGCTACCTCTTGTTTTTCCCTGTCTTTTGTTCACTGGTTGGTTCAAGTGTTAATAGATTTTCTCTTTTTTTTCTGTGTTTGTCAAGTACCCACACAGTGATTAGTCTCAATTCCAGTTTTGTGGTCAGTTCTCGCGATCCAAGATATGTACCAAAACTTTTAGTGTCACCCCATCAAAAATTGATCAACTTTAATTTACCGTGTTGGAAATGCTGACCATTTCTTGAGTCAAGAAATCAAACGTTTGAAGCTTACTGCAATTCGCAGGTAACTGTCCAGTACACTTTTATGTTTTGATATAATTACTGTAATTAGTTCTTGAATACACTTTTATGATGTTACTGAATTTTCGTTCAATCTAATGTTGTAATTTGAGTTTAAGCTGATTCTTGAGTTCCTGTTTTACATGATCACTTCATTTCTTGGAAACTGTTGTTTTATTAGTTTGAATTACATAAGATTCTCAAATGCCAACTTCTATATTAAATCTGTTGTAACCTCTGTTCTATTGTAGCTTGATTTAATTTAGTTTATAAAATTTATGCAAGAACTTGGCTGAGGAAATCTCTCAAGAGTATGCAAAACGACAGATTGGAAGTTTTATCCATTTTGGATACTATCAGTGATTGATTTGGTTGACACGATGGGTCTTCCTAATCCTCCTAATATAAAAAGAATAGATGAAATGGTTCCGCCACATTCTCAACACACTGAAGTATACACTAAAAAGTCCATTTATTTAAAAATGTGTTGAATTTAAGAAGATACCTACATGTTATTTAATTTTGCAGTGCTTGAGAAGTGTTAAATTTGCTTGAGCGACTACAGCCAATTGAAAATAATTAAGAACTTGTGTTAAAAATAGCATTATTCAAGTGTTCAGTAAATCACCTGTCCAAGTTTGAAAACACCTGTTAAACCTGCAAGGAAATCGAATGTCATTGATGAACCTCATACCTGGATCCACAACGATAATTTGAATTTCCTTCTGGTTGAATTTGAATCATTTTTTTAATTGGTTTGCAGGAAGATATTTTCACATTTGTGAGGTAGGTTTATCATTTTTTCAGATTTGAAAAAATGATAGACGATGGAGAAGAGGAAGAAACGATGTTAGAGTTTACTCCAACTTGCGTGGTGGCCGTGATACAAGAATCCATGGGATTTGAAGACAAGATATTCTACATGAAAGTCACACAGTTAGAGGCAAACACTGCTGAGTGCAAGTATAAACTTGTGTTTGTCCTCAATGCATCCTCTACTGTAATAGATGGAACAGAAAAAACAACTGACAAACACAAAGAGTTCTATGTGTTGCAGACGACATCAATTATGATAATCAAGACATCTCACCACCATCAACAAAGCGATTTTTCTTTCAAACCTGAACTTGTGAAATTACAGAGAAAGGAAAATTACACTAATCATGGTGGTCTGTATTTGAGAAAACATGAATGTTACAATCTAAAAGATTGATGTAGTTCTTTTTCTATCTCCATCTTGTAGCGACTTTGTTTTATTTTATAGCATCATTTACAGAAAGTTCATGCCTTTTTGATTTGTAAATTAGTTTTTTTTTTTGCACTTGTGCATCAAAACTGTTGATGTGAAGAAGAATATATAACAATGATGCTTTAGCTTATAACTTATGTGATGGAATCTGTAGTACTTTTGAAATGTATAAAATGATCTTTTCCAATGTCTAAATTGACTTTTATTCCGTATTAAATACATCATTCATTATACTTATACTTATGAATTACAATTTCTTAATGTATTGATTAATAAGAATAATAGTTATTGGTAGTTTTATTATTTAGATAACTAATTTTGTGGTTTCTTCAATTTCTTGAAACTGAATGACCAACGGTTATGCATTTTTATCAAATTTTTGATGATTTTTAATAGTTGCGTTTGAATTCTTAGGTATTTAGGAGGAAAGATGATTAAGATTTTTAAAGAATGTGAAAGGGAGTACAATAAACTATTTGTGATTACGTCAACCATCTTCTCTTCCCTATGGAGGTATCCTTTCAGTTTCTTGGTCAATTAGTTGATTTTAATCATTTCGCAATTGGAATTGTTAGTGAATTACTTGAATTTAATTGACTTTAATTTAACATAGGTTGTTGATATAGATGTTTGTTTTGATAAATGGCAGTCTGATGTATGATAATGGTAAAATTGTGTAATTGTTTATCAAAAAAATGCTGGTGTTCAATGTAATAGATTAGGCTATCGGGTTTCTGATAGATTTACTTATTTTGTGAATTTCAATTTGCAATGGAATTATGATTGTAATGTGAGATAATTGTTAGGTGGAATATAAATTATATACTAAAATAAACAAACTCTAGAGGTTTAAAATATTAAATATTAAATAAGTATAGATTTTGGTTTAGGATCATCAACTTCATGAAACTCCTTTAGCTTCCTTGGATTTAAAAATTTCCCCACCATTACATTTTTACTGATAATCAAATGGCAGTAACACCTGAAAAGATAAAGGTTAAGACAAACACATTTTTACTTATTTATTATAAAAAAAGATTTTTCTGGATGGTTTTCTATTTTTTACCTGAGAAGATAAAGGTTTACTTATTTATTGCCAAGCAGAGAAATTCTATTGGAATGAAGGAAAAGATAAAGATTTACTTATTTATTGCCAAGTAGAGAAATTCTATTGGAACGAAGGAAACATGCTTTGAAATGGAAAACAAAGTGTGTAAAATGGATTGGACGGAGGAATTTCTCTTTGCCTCTATCCAATGACGGAGGCATGGAGAAATTCCTCCGTCCAACTTTAGATGCAGGAATTTCTCTATGCCTCCGTCCAAGGATGCAGCCATAGAGAAATTCCTCCATTGCAATTTAAACATTTTCTTATGTTTTTTGTTTTGGTATTATATACATCTATTTAACTTCATAGATTTGAACAGAGACTCTTGATGATGCATTCAAGTGAATGAATAAAATTGACAAGTTTGAGGACAGGCATTTTCAGGTGAAGATGGAGTACGGTGTTATTGGTGAATTGATGAAGAGGCTAAAAGTAGCTGAAGGGAAGGAAAAATTTCTTATTCGGGTGAAGTTGAATAAGGCCATGACGATGGTAGAATCGAAGGAAGCATATGATCCAAATGATCCCACCAATTATGGAATCATTCAGAATGATCAGTTACGATCTTCCGTTGATCTTCTACAACATGCTGGGTTTGAAAGGGAGCAGCGGTTGATACAAGGTGGAGAGAGTAATGATGACTTACAGTTTGATAACATGAAGGAGAAGAATACTATAATAATGGAAAAACCTCATGAATTAGACAAGATACTTGAGCAGAACCTGTTGGCATTGGATAACACCTTTGGAAACAAAGAGAAGGTTCTCGAGGAAGAAATTAGAGATCTTGCTGAGGAAACGAACTCATTGATTGAGAAGAAGACAACACCTCTCTCCAGGAAAATATGTGGATGCCTATTCTGCCTTTCTTAATATACTAATAACTGACTTCAGCCTTCTAAGCAATTTTTTACTAAAACTAAATGATTATTTCCTTACCATTTTTCTCTGGAAGCTTTGATTACAACATGACATAACTGCTGTTATTGTTCGATAAAATCAATTTTTGAGAAGTAGATTTCTTTCATGTCACATAAAGATAATTGTGTCATGCAAGGCTGCTAACCTCTGTGAAACTTAGGCCAATATTTTGCTTCACCAACATATATATGCTACCATATAATGGATATTTATCCTGCGTTGATGAGCTTTAATTTAATATATTACGGACTCATTCTGCTCTCATGTTAGCATTACTTTGTGGTTTCTTTTAACTTTCATCAGACCATGACTGTCAATATTGGTTATGCCTTTTGGCTTCTAATGAATCATCTTTTTCCTTCATTTCAAGAAGCATGATCATCTGTGCTGTTTTACTCACTGTGAAGCTAATATTTGACTTAGTCTGTGCTCAATGATTTCAAGGTTCTGATGTGAAACTCATTAATGTCAATAGAACTTGTAAGATTACAAAGGTAATATAATCTCTATGTTCAACTCCACATCCCCCCCGGTGCTTTGAGGAACTTAATAATTATGCTATATATGAATGATGCAGAGAAGTCAATTTCTCAAGTACACTACAATGCTAGCTTATGGTAACTATCATGGTGCTGTTCAATTTGCAAAAGCAAAAAGTCCGTCAATTCCTATTGCTCTTCAAAAGGTATCATGCTGGTATTTGCCTTCGTCAGTTAATTTCTGAAGATTTCTCTGTTTAAAATGGAATCAATTGATCTCATGGTTAACTAGAGCAAAAAGTTTCATTACTGCTAGATAAATGAGAAAGACTTCAGTAGTTGATGTCTATGTGTGTGTAAAAATATCCAATTAACTAATTATGTTTCAAATATCTACCATAGAATCTTTCTATTGTGCGAAGACAATTTGTATGTTAAGAGTGCCTCTAAATTATCTTGTTGCTCATGCTAACTACTTTTCGAATATATTTTTGATTCCTTACAATATTTTACTTATATTATTGTGTTTTTTTTTTTTTTTGCTAATTCATTTTCTGACAGACCTATGAGAAATATTTTCAGAATCTCTATTATGTTGAACGGTGTGAGGAGCATACAATTGCACACGCAGTCCAGACTTCATATAAAAAGACCAAGGTTTTATCTAATTTTTTTTTCTTCTTTGAGCTTATTCTAGCAGGAGGAGAAAAACTAGAGCTAAAAGAAAATTTTTATTTCTTCTTGTTGTCCAAATATTGTATTGACTTTTAGGTGTATCTTTAGCCTGCATCCACTTAAACATAGGTGTACCTTCAGCCTGCATCCACTCAAACAGGGATGAAAGCAGGCAGAACTGTGCAAAGAATTCTCAATTTGGCAAGTTTCAAAAATGTGAAATCAAAGGTAAAAAATAAAAAAATTAATAAAATTAATGTCCTCTGACCTGCAAAATTGGTTTCTAAATCCACAATGTCTTAACATATGTACTCTTATAGGTCATTGGTTCAAGGAATTCTTATAACACAGTGAAGGCTATTTTTGAGGCTCTAAATGCGGTATGTAGAATAAACTACTGATTCTAAAGGCTAACTATTTTCTATATCTGATTTAACTCATGATGTTTGTATTTTGTTCTCAGTTTTTCTCCCTAATCTAAACTGCAACATGAAAAAGGATGACAAATATCTCTCATAAACAAGTTTTTTTGAATTCACTTGCATTTGGTTTTTTTTTAGGGCAGGTAAAATTTATGCAATAAATGCAAGAATTTAACATTAACTTGAAGTATGTTGATGTTGATCATCTTTGAAGTTTGAAGTTGACATCTGCTATAAGGAAGATAAACTTGTTGCTTTATACAAACAGTTACTTTCTTGTTGTTTTTACTGATACATCTTCCTTTGATACATCTTCCTTTCAAAGAGTGTTTGCATTAAAAAATCATATTGCATTATTATGGAAAAATCATCTTGGATTTTTTTTATCAAAACAAAGAATGCTCATTTTGCAGCCAAACATCTTCCTACTTCCTACATCTCAAAAAGATATAATTCTGATAATTCTTTGTATATCAAAATTCAGATCACTTGCATCTGGATTCTCTTTTTCTTTTTCTTCTTTTAAATTAATTTTTAATATA